GAGACTTGAACCGTGGTCAACTACGTGGGAGTCCAGCGACATAGCCATTACACTAACTGCTGGTCCCTAACCTAAATCATTTTTAAAAAGCCCCACTCCTTACAGCGACTACCCAACCCCTCCTTACCGTGTCTAGCTCCTCCCAGCCTCCTCTCCATGGTTCTCTCTCTACCCCAATACCTAGACTGTTTCTTATCAGAGCAATTTTGTTCTTTTTTTTTTTTTTTTTTGAGAAAGATTTTTGCAATAGGGTACTGTTGCAATGTGCTCACTGGAGAAACAGACAGAGGAGAGAGACAGAGAGACAGAAAGTGAGAATTCACCCCTTGGGAAGATGACCATGCCACACTCCCCTCTCCTCCATTCTCCTCTTGGGATTTTGAGCATGCATGCATGCGCCTGGTGTGTCTCAAGCCGCCAGGTCTGGGACTCGAAACGTGGTTGGCCATGTGGGAGTCTAGCGCCTTAACCACCATGCCACCTGCTGGCCCCCGATTTTGTTCTTGAGATAAGAGTTCCTATTGCAGAAGGAGAGCCTCGGCCTGCAGTGTTGGGTCCCTCGTGTTCTCCACCGTAGGTTCGGGTAAAGGTGTTCGAAGCCCGACAGCTGATGGGCAACAACATCCAGCCCGTGGTGAAGGTGACCATTGGGGGCCAGGAGCAGCACACACGGCTCAAGATGGGAAACAACCCTTTCTTCAATGAGGTGCGCAGAACGGGACACAAGTGGGCAGCCCGGGGTGTGTGGTCCTGCAGGCAGCTGGGAGGTTCGCGTCTTGACTACACGGTTCTCATGGATTTATTCCACGAGTACTATGAGTGCCACGCACGGCGCCGACACTGGGAATACACAGGAAGTTCAGAGTCCTACAGTAGAGGGGCTGGTGGTCTGCCAGGGGCACCCCATGAGACCCCATAAACAAGCACCATGGAGCAGGTGGGCCTGACGGGTCTAGGGGCACAGTGGATGGAGCTGTCCACGGTGGGTCCAAAGAGCAGCCTCGTGTCTGACACACAGCAGGTGCTCCCTACACACTTGTTGAATTCATTGGTGAATAGAAAAACTAATAAAAAAACAAAAGCACAGGGAGGGGCCAGCAGATGGCATAGAGGTTCTATCACTGGACTCCGACACAGCCGACTGCAGTTCTAGTCCCAGCCCCGGTGGCTTCAAAATCACGCTGGGGGAGACCACCAGATGAGGTAATGGTTATGCCACTGGCCTCCCACATAGTTGACCGAGGTTTGAGTCCTGACCCAGCAGCTTTAAACTCATGCCGGGCACATGTACATGTGTGCCCAGGATTCCAAGAGGAGACTGGAGGAGCAGAGACTGTGGCGTGGCCATCTCCCTGGGGGGTGATTTCTTGCTTTCTGTCTCTCTCTGTCTCTCCAGCGAGCACATGCACCCTATAGCAAAAACCTTTCTTTAAAAAAAAAAAAACTCAGGGGAACCAGCAGTTAGCGTAATGGCTGTGTCGCTGGACTCCCACGTAGTCGACCGCGGTTCACGTCTAGGACCCGGTGGCTTAAATCTCACGCCGGGCGCATGTGCGTGCGTGCCCAGGATCCCGAGAGGAGAATGGAGGAGAAGGGATTGCGGCGTGACCATCCCCCCCGGGGGGGGATTTCTCGCTTTCTGTCTCTATGTCTCTGTCTGTCTGGCGAGCGCACACGCCCTATAGCGAAAACCTCTCCAAAAAAAAAAAAAAAAGTCACACACTGGGCACGTGTGCAAGAGTGCTGAAGATCCTAGGAGAATGGAGGAGAGGGATTGCAGCATAGCCCACGGCATGGCTCACTTTCCCTCTCACTGTCTCTGTCTCTGTCTCTCTCTCCCTGGCGATTGCACATGCACTAAGGCAAAATCTTTAAAAAAAAAAAAAAAGATGAAAGCACAGTGAATTTAGGAGGAGTGAGTAACGAGCTGGGAGAAGTTGCATAGGACTCAGAAAAGGTTCCATAAAACTACCAGGGAAGAAAAGACAGGGTGGGGAAAGATCATTTATGAAAACGGAACGTGAGCTCATAGGCCTGGAAGTAGGCCTCCGTGTGGCTTGTGGGCAGAACTATAGACGTGGGTGTGGCTAGCGAGGAGCCTCTCATGCGGCCTGGGGTCCTGTCATGAAGGCACTCAGGAGGTGGAGAACTAAGGCAGGAGGGTGCCAGTCCGAGGTCTGCATTTGGGAAAGGAGGCCCTGGCTGCCCCAGGGAGAGTGGGTGGAGCTAATCGCAGGGCAATCTAGAAGGACCGAAGGCTCGAAGCTCCACCCTGGGACAGCCAGCTGGTCCTTGAGCTGCTAGTTTCTCTAGGACAGCAAAGCCTCTCTGGGAGCCGGGCAGATTTCTTCCGTAGGCATACGAGCGTGGCACTAGGCTGAAAATCACTGGCTGGACCAAGCTGGGGCAAGAAGTCGTTATTCGGAGGTGACAGGTTGAGTGGGTCTTTGGGTAAAGTGGCAGAGGAGACATCATCTACCCCTACACCAATTCTCTCCATCGCAGACCTTCTTCCAGAATTTCCATGAGGTTCCTGCAAAGTTCTTTGATGAGGTCATCTCAATCCAGGTGAGGACCAGTCTGGGTCCCCAGAAGGGTGGATCCACTTTTCTTTCCCATGTCTGGACTGGGAAGCGTTTCAGCCCCCAGCCCTCACCTCAGATCCAGGGTCGCTTAGGATTGTCTTTCTGACCTCAAGGTAGTGTCTCCATCTTTTTCACTTCCTGGCAACCCAGAGTCCCCATTCATTCATCCACTCATTCAAAACATGCCACGGATTGCGGATCGCCGACTGCCAGGTGCTGCCCCAGGCGCTGAGGTAAACCCGAGGTGAACAGAGCAGCCTTCCCAGGCGCCAGGATCCTCATGCGCCCAAAGGTCCCTGTGTGGAGTCCTCTATTTCCCATCCAGAGGGAGCTGGCACCGAGGGTGACCATGTGTTTATCAAGTGTCTACTGAGTGCCCACACAGGGCTGAGGTGAGCAGGGAGGACTCCCCTGGAAGAGATCCCGTGTTCCTGGGAGCACAGACCCATAGGAGAGGACCAGAAGAGCGTGTGATGGCGAAGGCTGACTGCTGCACCTGTCTTTGTGCCGGCCTCGGGTTTCTGCCCAAGGCCCTCGTCAGCACAGTGGTCCTGAAAACCTGAGCCTTACAGGGGCCTATGAAAGCAAGATGAGAACAACTAAGTGCACGTGTCAGCCGTGAGGAAGCCTTCAGTGCATCCTGGGGGCTCTTAGCTACGCCCTTACCATTCCTCCCACCAGGAGGGGGGGGGGAGGGGGGGATTGGAGTTGGGAATCACTGAGAGCTTTCTGGAAACTTCCTTGCAGGTGATGAACTCCTCGGCAATGCGATATAAAGCAGAGATCGGGAGATTCCAAGTGAGCCCTGCGCGAAAGAGGAGGTTTGGGAAGCAGTTACAGGGACCCATGGTGGACTCCCTGCTCTAGGGTAGGGGAGAGGACTTGGATTTCCACACAGAATGTCCAGACGTGGGGGCTGGCAGGTGGCGTAGAGGTTAAGGCGCTGGACTCCCCACAGGGCTGACCACAGTTCGCGTGCTGAATCTGGCGGCTTGCTTTCTCACTTTCCTTTTCTGTCTCTCTCTGGTGAATGCATGTGCACTATAGCAAACGAAATAATAACAAATCATAAAATTAAATAAATAATAATTTTTAAAAGATTCTTTAAAAAGTTAAAAAATAAAGAAATATCCAGACGTGGATTCACCTACCGAACTGGTGACGTACAGAAGTTATTCTGAGCCTCCACCTCCTCCTCTGTAAAACGGTGACAGGACCTAAGCCCCAGGTCACTGTGAGGTATGAAACATCCATGGACGTGTTAGGCGCCGTGTCAGATTCCCCACACCCGTAACACTGTGGACACAGCTCAAATCACTGCCTCTGGAAAGTGGAAGCCGAGGATTCAAAAATGCCAAACGAGGTGCTGGAGACACCCAGAGGAAGTTTGCTGCCTGTGAGGACAGAGCGAAAAGCTGAGGAACGAGGCGTTTACACAGTCATGACGGGATAAACTGAGGTTTTCCAAATTCAGGAGACAGGGAAGTAAGGGGATGCTAGAGTAAATACAGCATGCTGGGGCCAGGGGGTGGCATGGTGGCTAAGGTACTGAACTCCCACGCGATCGACCGTGGCTCAAGTCCCAGACCCTGTGATTTGGAAATCATGCCGGGTGTGTGTGCATGCGCGCCCAAAATCCCAAGAGAAGATGGAGAAGAGGGGATTGTGGCATTGGCCATCAGCCCTGGGGAAGGGTGATTTCTCACTTTGCCTCTCACTGTCTCTCTCTCTCTCTTTCTCTAGTGACTAAAACCAAATAAATAAATACAGGATGCCCAGTTACATTTGAGTCTTAGATAAATTAGGCTGGCTCCATGGTCTGGTGGTTAAGATACCTGGACCTCATATGGTCTACACCCCAGTTCAAGTTCCAGACCTGGCAGCTTAATGGACGTGCCACGTATATGTGTGTGCATGCCCAAAGTCCCAACAGGACGAAAGATGCTGCCTTTCTGTCTCTCCATCTCTCTCTGGTGAGCGCACTTGCCCTCTAACAAAAATCAAATTTAAAAAAAAAAAAAAACTTGATAAATGTTTTTGAAATATAAGTTTGTTCCAGAGATTGCATGACTTCTTGCCAAATGTTGATATATGTGTGCTAAAAATGGAGTTATTGTTTATCTGAAATTCAAACTTGAGTGGGCATCCTTTATATTTATTTGTTAAATCTGACAACCTTAGGGAAAGGACACCACTATTGGGAAAAGCAAATTTAGGACAAATCAAAGTTAGGTTTCTGGGATCAGCAGATGGCTTTGAGGTTAAGGTGTCTGGCTCTCACATGGCCAACTGCGTGGTTCAAGTCCCAGACCTGGCAGTTTGAAAAAATACACCAAGTACCTGTGTGTGTGCCCGTAATCCTTAGAGGAGAATGGAGAAGAAGGAATTGTGACCGTCTCCCTTGGGGGCGTGCTTTCTCACTTTCCCTCTGTCTCTAGCGAGCACATGTGCCCTATAGCACCAAAAACAAAACAAAACAAAACAAAATAAGTGTTCTTTGTCACTACTTACAGCAGTCACATAGACAGTCATAACCTGCCCGTCCCTCACCTCACCCTCAGAAAAGGCCATACAAGTTTAGCGATTGAGACTGTAGAGAGTTTAAGTGGCAGGAGGGCGAAAATGCTGTGCTGTTGACAACTTCCACTGCACGATTTCCAGACAACGATCTACGATATGAAGTATTGAAGTAAGGATAGAGGTCAGAGAAAACCTGAACTTAATTGAAATTTTTTTGGTTAAATTTATTTCTTCCATGAGTGAGAGAAACAGACAATACCCTCAACAGGTTCCAGCCCTACAACCCACCCCTGGCCAGCCCTGGGTCATGGGCACGTGCTTGCCCAGTGGCCTCAGGGAGGTCTCAGGACACGAACCGGGAACCTTCTCATGCAGGTCAGCCTAGCAGAACATTGTGTTTCACCGCTATGGCACTATCTGCCTCCTATATTTTTTATTAAAATAATTCTTTAAATAATTATTTTATTTTTACATTGTTTCTTTCTTTTAATTAGACCAGAGAGGGACAGAGTGAAAGCGAAACAGTGAGAGATTAAGAGAAAGAGATGGAAAGCGAGAAGGCAAGTCACCAGGTCCAGGACTTGAACCACGGTCAGCCATGTGGGAGTCCAGCACCGTTAACCAACACACCACCTGCTGGCTCTATGCCTCCTACATTTTTAAAAAAGATTTTAATTTTTTAAAAATTTAACTTTATTTATTTATTTATTTATTTATTTTAATTTGACCAGAGGGGGGAGAGAGAGAGAAAGTGAGAAAGCAAGCCAAGCCACTGGGTTCAGAACTCAAACCATGGTTGGCCATGTGGGAGTCTACCACCCTTAACCATCATGCCACTTGCCACCCCCCTCACATTTTTACATGTTACGTTTTATTTTGGAAAATTTCAAACATACATAAAAGTAGAGAAAATAGATTCATGAACCCTCACATTCTTATCACTCAACTTCACCAATTAATTTTTTTTTAATTTTATTTATTTTCTTTTTGAGAGGTTTTTGCTATAGGGCGCATACACTCGCCAGTAAGACAGAGACAGAGACAGAAAGCGAGAAATCACTCTCCAGAGGGAATGGCCATGCCGCAATCCCTTCTCCTCCATTCTCCTCTTGGGATCTTGGGCATGCACGCACATGTGCCCGGCATAAGTTTAAGCCGCTGGGTCCAGGACTCGAACCGCAGTCGACTACATGGGAGTCCAGTGACATAGCCATTATGCTAACTGCTGGTCCCACCAATTAATTTTTGATATGTTTATACTCAGCCCACTTCACCTTTCCCGTGGATTATTACCGTTGTTATTATTTAAGCTTTTTCCCATAGGGGCCAGTAGATGGTGTGGTGGTTAAAGGCACTGGATTCCCACATGGGCAACTATGGTTCGAGTCCTGAACCTGGTGGCTTTCTCTCTCTCTCACTCTCCCTCTCTGATCAAATTAAAATTTAAAAATGTATAAATAAAGTTAAATAAAATAATTCTTTAAAAAAAAAGATTTTTCCCATAGGGCATGTGTGATCACTGGAAAAAGAGAGACAGAAAGACAAAGAAAGTGAAAAATCACCTCTCAGGGGGATGGCCTTGCTGTAATTCCCTTCCCTCCATTCTCCTTTGGGGACCTTGAACACACACACACATGTGTGCTTGGCATGTTTCTCAAGTTGCCAGGTCTGAGACTCAAGCCTCAGAGTCAGCCGTGTAGGATCCACTGCCTTAACCACCAGACCACCTGTTGCTCCCACAATGGATTGCTTTAAACTAAATTTTGCATCATTATTTTATCTTTAAACATTTCAGTATGTATTGCTAAAAGATTTTAGAGCTACATCCTCAATACAATGATCACATCTAAAAACCTTTATCATTCCTATACAGAATTATCTGATCAGAGAGAGACAGTGAGAAAAGCAAGAAATCACTTCCTGGGGGAATGGCAACACCACAATCCCTTCTTCTCCATTCTCCTGGGATTTGGGGCAGGCATACACCTGTGCCCAGTGTGATTTTCAAGCTGTTGGGTCTGGGACTGTGTGGTCCGCCATATGAGCGTTTGGCACCTTCACCACCATGCTACCTGCTGGCCCCTACAAATTTCTTCTAAAGTTTGTTCAAATCAGAATCCAAATCAGGTCCATTGGTTGTGGTTGGATGGTTAACATGCACTTTAGGTCCCTTACTCTGTTGTTGGTCTTCTCTGCTTTTATTTTTCAAACTTGCAATGTATTTGTTAAGGAAACTAGAGTAGAACTTTCTCCAGTCTGGATTTTACAGATTGCATCTCCAGGGGATCATTGCGCATCCCCACCCACCCTCCACCGGCCCCCTTCATCTTCACCTCCTACTGTATTTCCCCATTCAGTTGCTTGGCAACTTGGGCCAATTATCTGGCAGACTGCCTTCAGCAGGCAGCACAGAATGCTGTGTTGGTCTCTCTTTTTATGTTGTTAATGGACAACTCTTGTGATCATGGGCCTGGATTTATTGCTTCATTAGGGTGATTAAATGACTTTTGTTTTGTTACCACTCTGTTGAGTTACCATTGACATACAATGAATTGTACATATTTAAAAGGTACCATGTGATATGCTTTAAAATACGTAAACATGGGCGGGTTTGTAGCCTAGCGGTAGAGGAAGCCAGATCCCACATGGCTAACCATGGTGAATCCCCACCTCTGGGGTTTGAAAAACACACCAGGTATGTGTGCATGCATGGAGAAATAGAAGGGATTGTGGCATGGCCATGCCCCCTCGAGGGATGCTTTCTCCCTTTCTCGCGCTGTCTCCAGTGAGTGCACACACCCTCTGGCAATAAAAAAATCTCCAGTGAGCGCACACACCCTCTGGCAATAAAAAAATAAAATAAAATCTATACCCACTGGTACATATTATCACTACCAAGATAACGAACACGTCTACCACATCTGTCACGGACCCTAAGTTACCTCTTACCCCTTTGGGATGTCTTTTTCTCACTCCTACCTCACCCTCTCTCATCCTCAGGAAATCACTAACCCGCTTTTTGTTTCCTCAGATGATTCGCATGTCCTACAGTTTCACATAAATGGATACATACAGTATGTGCGCCTTTTTATTCAAATATGCGGGCGAGCACGAGCGTGAGCGAGAAAGAGAAAGCACTCTCATGGCATGGTCAGGCCGCCATCTCTCTCCTTCTCTATCCCATCAGGATCTGGGGCCTGCACACACATGCACCTGTGTGTTTTCCAAGTTGCCAGGGCCGGGATTCAGACCGCAGTCGGCCACATGGGATCCAGCTCCTGATGCACACGGCACCCCAGCCACTGCACTCCGGGGCAGGCCCGGTATGTACCATTGTTGGTCTGGCTTCTTGCACTCGGCATAATTATTTTGAGAGTTAGCCAAGCTGTTGCATGCCTCAAGAGTTTGTTTCTTGTCATCACGGAGTATATTCTGTTGTATGGATGTATCACAGTTTGCTTATTCATCTGTTGAAGAACATTTAGATTACTTCCAGTTTGGGGCTATTATAGTGAAGCTACTGTAAACACTTGTGTGCAAACTTTAGCATAGACAGCAAGTTTTCTTGGGGAGCAGCAGGTGGCTCCGTGGCTAAGGTGCTGGACTCCCACATGGCCCACTGTTAGTTTTAAGTCCTGGATCTGGTGGCTTGAAAATCACACTGGGCTCATGTGCATGTGTGCCCAAAGTCTCAGGAAGAGAATGGAGGAGAATGTGCTTGCATGTGGTCGTTTTCCCTAGGGAAGAATGGAGGAGAAACTCCTAAGGGGTGATTTTTCACTTACCTCTTCTTTCTCTGTCTCTCTCCATTGAGTGCATGTGCCTTATGGGAAAAAAAAAAAAAACAAAACTAAATTAAACTAAAAAACAGTGCTTGGAGCCAATGGGTGATATGGTGGTTAAAGTGCTGGACTCCCATGTGGCCAACTGTGGCTCAAGTCCTGGAGCGGCAGCTTGCTTTCTCACTTTCCCTCTCTCTCCCTCTCTCTCTGTTTCTCTCTCTGGTGAACGCATGTGTCCTACAGTACATTTAAAAAATAATAATAATAAATAAAATTAATTGATACAATTATTCTAAAAATTAAAAAGTTCTCTTGGGGGAGCAGCAGATGGCATAATGGTTACATTACTGGACTCTCCTATGTAGTCACTTGCAGTTCGAGTCCCAGGTCTAGCAGCTTAAAACTCACACCAGGTGCGTGTGCATGCATGCCCAAAATCCCAAGAGGAGAAGGGAAGAGAAGCAATTGTGGCGTGGCCATTCCCCCTGGAGAGTTATTTCCTGCTTTCTGTCTCTCTATCTCTCTGTCACTCCAGTGAGCACACACCCCCTAGAGAAAAAACATCCTCTCTTAAAAAACAAAAGTTCTCTTGGATGGGCCAGCAGGTGGTGTGGAGGTTAAAGCAGCTGGATTCCACATGGCCAACAGCCCAGTTTGAGTCCTGGACCCAGCAGCTTGTAAAACACACTGGGTATATGTGTGTGCATGCTCAAAGTCCCAAGAGGAGAATGGAGAAGGGATTGTGTGTGGCCACCCACCCTTGGGGGGGGTGACTTCTCATTTTTCCTCTCTCTCTGTCTCTCTCAGAGAGCACACGTGCCCTACAGCCACACTAAAAGAAAAAACAAGTTCTCTTGGGTAAATGTGTAGAAGTAAAATGACTAGGTCTTATGAGAGGCATATTTTAACTTTCAAAGATAATGCCCAGCAGTGCTTTCTCCAAAATTCAAAAGAGATTTTTCACTCCTTCACTTGTCCGTCAGCTGCTCCACATCCTCCTTAGTACCTGATACAGTCTGTCTTTCATTTCAGCCCTCTTAACGGTGCGTGGTAGTATCCCAGGGTGATTTTAATTTATGCCTCCCTGGTGATTAACGATGTTGAGCCTGTTGCCATGTGCTTGTCATCCTTGGTGAAATGTCCGTTCAAGTCTTTTGCTCCTTTTCACTGGGTTGTTCATTTTCTTATTACTGATATATGATTTGTAAATGTTTTATTCCTGTATATGACCACCCTTGCATTTTCTTTTCCTTTTTTTTTTTTTTTAAGGTTTTTGCAACAGTGCATATAGGCTCACTGGGGAGAGAGAGAGAGAGAGAGAGAGA